ACTAGGCACTATGCCACCAGAGCTCCCCTTTCTCTGCATGGTTCCCTCCGATCTCAGTCTCTTCAACCCAGAGATCCCACTGAACCCTGCCCAGTTTGGCTGTCCTTGCACTGTTGTCTGAAAGTGGAATCTAGGCCGAAAGTCAGGACAATAAGGTTCATCTTATTTGCTTCTCTTGTTTCAATGCACTGCTTGTTGTCCAATGTTTGAAAACAGTTGTTTCATGACCATCTGTCGAATTTTCTAGTTGTTCACACGGGAGAGCAAGTCTTGTTTCGGTAAGTCCATCATGGCTGGAACCAGCAGTTCCTTCACTTCTGTCTTTTACTGTAGTCCTCTCTTCAAGTTTGCCAATTATTTAACCTTTCCACTGAGGTTTTAATTTAATGACTAGATATGTATTTAATTCCAATTATCATACATTTCATCTCATGTGCATTTGGTGGAATTTTCATTTCCAAACCTGCCTCATTCTATTTCAAATATGATTTGTTTCTTAGTCATGTTTTAGATACCTTTTTTGTATGTCTATTTAAAATATTATTGTACATTTTTATTATTTTATATCTGATATTTCTAACATCTGGGATCTTTATTAGGGCTAATTCTGCTATTTGAGGTTTGTGCTGCGTATTGCTTACAATGCCTTGATTGCTTGTGTGTCTTACAATTTGAGGTTCTGTGTTCATCTTTGATGGGACATTATATGTGGGAATGGGAGCTCTGGTGGTGTATCCTAAGGCATTTGACTGCTAACCAGAAGGCTGGTGGTTCAAACCCACCAGCCACTCCTCAGAAGGAAGGTTGGACAATCTACTTCCATAGAGATACTGCCTCGGAAACCCAAGGAGGGGTCACTATGAGTTGGATCCAACTCCATGGCAGTGAGTTTGGTTTGGTTATTTGGTATATGTAGGAATCCTTTAAGACATGGGCTTAAATCTCCACAGAAAATTTTCTTTTGTTCTTATCAGGCTCTCAAAGTGTTGCTAAGCTGAGATTTCACTAAGGAAATTCAGTAGCTTGAGGTTTCCTGGACCACAGAGATGGTACAAATTATAATCCCAAGATTTCATCAGTGAAAGGTTTGTTGTACATTCTTAGGGAGCCCTTTTTCCCTTTTCTCTGAAGCCCTAATGCTGAGGGAGATGGTTTTATATCATCTCTCCTTTCTGATGGGTGAACTTTTCTCTCTAGCTCACAGTCTTACTGAGGCTATAACCTGCCCAGACATGGAGGTTTGTCTCAGTTCCAAGTCTTCACAATTCATGGGCCCACGCCTTTAATTCCTGGTTTCCATAACCTTTACAAAATGAGCTTGTAAGTTACTGAGACTGGTCAATGCTGCAAGAACAGTCAGTGTCACTTGCCACTTCTGTTCCCAGCTCCTTTTGTTCTTGGCGTCCAATATTTTCATCATCATCATCATCATCATCATCATCATTACCCTGAGTGGTGCAAATGATGAATACACTCAGCTGCTAATCAAAAGGCTGGAAGTTCAAGCCCCCTCAGAGGCATCTTGGAAAAAGGAATGAAAACCGACTTCCAGAAAATCAGCCATTGAAAACCCTGTGGAAACAGTTCTGCTCTGATACACACAGGTATCCATGAGTCAGAACTGGCTTTAGTAGTAAGCTCAGTCCTGTATCGAAGGGATGTTTATTATACTTAGTGCAGGATTTCTGGGTGTCTTGTTTCTGAGGAATTCTTCAGGGTAATCAGAACACCATAACACTTAGAATGCAAGACTTTTCCTTCACTTTTCCCATGGTTGGCACCTTTTCTTCCTTTAGATTTCATCTCAAATACCAAACTCCTATCTGAAGTAGTCACATCCCCCAGCTAGTTATTCTCTAGCACATTACCCTTTGTATGTCTCATCACAGTCTGAATAATCATTTTCCAAAGCGTTTCCATGTTTATTATCTGTCTCCCTCCCCAGCAGGTAAGAAGCATGGGCATAACACCAAGTCTCAAACTTTTCCTCTGGGCTCATAGCTGCAATCACAGTGTGGATCTTAAGAAAAGGTGCTCAAATATTTGTCAGATGAATCATTTCTTTTTTCTTGAAGCAACTATAAATGAGTAAATATATATATCCCACAAAATATGTTTCTGAAAATTCAGATTATGTCAGCAAGTACAACATGTGTATGCCCAGATGTTGTTCATGCTTCATGGGCTCAAAGCAGCAAAAAGTGAGAAGGAGATTGCTCTTCACTTATCTTAGAGAGGGGGGCTGAGTTAAGGCCTCACTGCTGCCCACCTACAGGGTAATATTTTCCCCAGAAATCAGGAACAAGTGGGGAGAACTCAGGTACCTTGACAGATGTGGTAGCCTAAAAGAGGTATTTCTGTGTGGATGTGACTTCCATAATGGATCATCAAGCTCTTACTCTCTTTTCAAATAAAGTGAAACAAAATAAAAAACTGATTCTTATTTCAGTATGCTAAGTCTTTATGGGATTTTCAGTAAGAATTATGAAAATAACCCTCCTACTTTATCTTCAGAGAGCAGCCTGAAAATGTCTTCAGGATCTGGTACTTTCCCATCTCCAAATAGAACTAAGAGTGTCCATGTCACTTGCTTCTATCCTGAATGGGTAGAAACGGTTTCACAGGGAATCAAACTTTATATTTACCTATTTTGACGTGTCAGTGATAATCACTGTGAGCTTAGAAATGTAATCTAAGTCTGACTGATTTTTCCACTACAAATTCTGGGGATTCTCTTGTTTTAATACAGTTCCTAAGCTTTTCATAATAGGTTTCTCTTGGAACAAAAACTCCTGGAATAAAGACAACAGTGTATCTTAATCGGAATCAACAATAACAGTGACAACAATAACAAAGCAAAGGTTTCTTGTGTGTTTACAATAGGTTAGGCACTGAACTAAGAGCTTTATGTATCATTATTTAAACCTTAAAAATCCTCTTATGAGATTGGAACCCTCATAGTGGAAATGTAAAATGGTACAACCTGTGTAGAAAATGGTATGGCACATCCTTAAAAAGCTGGAAATAGAAAAACCATGTGATCCAGCAATCACACTACTAAGAACTGTGACATGAACAGATGTGTGCACACCCACGTTCATCACAGCACTACTAACAATAACAAAAAAGATGGAAACAACCTAAATGCCCATCCGTGGATGAATGGATCAACCAACTATGGTACATATGCACAATGTAATGTTACACTATGTTAAGGAACCATAATGAATCTGTGAAATATCTTATAACATGGATGAACCTAGAGGATATTATACTGAGTTAAATTAGTCAGTTACAAAAGGGAAAATATTGTATGAGACCAGTATCGTAAAAAATCAAGGTTTTCACACAAAAGGAAATATTCTTTGTTGGTTATAAGGGGTAGGAAGGGAAGGGAGAGTAAACCACTAACTAGAGGGTAGATACATATGAACTTGAGTGAAGGGGAAGGCAACATACAATAAGGGGGAGATCAGCACAAAATGATAAAGGAAAGGAAGATGCTGGAAGAAGCACAGGGTTAAAGGCAGCAGAGATAAATACTAATTCATACACAATGCTGCAATAACAGCAATAACAATAGTCAGTAATCTATGAGTGGATACATAGCTAGACATGCAAGCTGAACAGGCATGGGAAGGAGAATGGGACTATACCCATGAATATGAATAAATATATAAATATGCATATATGTTTGACAAAAGTTATTTCTACCTATGCATTTATATATGCTGCAAATATACCCATGAATATAATAGAGACTACAAGAGGCAAAGTTATGAAAACTTCTTAGCTGTAACCAAAAACCCTGAGGGGGTGAGTTACTGGGTCTTAGGACTCAGAACCAGTGTCTCAAGAGCATCAAGGTCAATTGGCACACTATAGTCCACAAAGACAACATTCTGCACCCTACTTTGGTGAGTAGTGACTGGGGTCTGAAAAGCTTGCGAGCAGCCATCTAAGGTCCAACAATTGGTCTTTCCCTGCCCCGAGCAAAGAGGAGTAAAGAAAATCAAAGACACTTGGAAACAGTCCAAAGGACTAATGGACATGAACTTTGGCCTCCATGACCCTGAGATCAGAAGGACTAGATGGTGCCTGGCTAACACAACTGACTGCTCTGAAGGGATCCCATTAGAAGATCCTGGATCGAGTGGGAGAAAGATGTGGAACAAAACTCAAAATAATAAAAAGGAGTAGGCTTACCAGTCAGACAGAGACTGGTGGAATCCCCAACTATGGCCCTTGGTTACCCTTGAGACCTGGAACTGAACTCACTCCTGTAGCTGAAATTTTCAGTCCAACAATAGACAGGTCTACAAGGTAAGCAATAACTCTAGGAAGATGGACACCCCTTAGAACAATCAATTCTCTGAGATCAGAAGGGCAGCATTTGCCCAAGGACAAAGTTCAGAAGGCAGGAAGGGTTAAGAGAGAAGGAGGAATGGAAACAAGTAACACAGGGAGGAAGCGGGAGGAGTGATGCTCCCTTGAGGGGACTGCAATCAATGACATGAAACAAAAAGTGTGTGATTTGTTGAATGGAAAACTGATTTGCTCTGTAAACTTTCACCTAAAGTTTTTTTTTTTTTTTTTTAAATGATGCCAGAAGATCTGATATCAGATCCCAGTACTAAAATTTATTTAAATTTAACTGTTTTCAAATGTACGAATTGGCATCTTTTTTTTTTTTTCACTTGAAAATTGCCACAAATGAATTTTAAAAAGTAGCAAACTACAGAAGATCAAATGTAAATGGGTGAATTATACCTTATGTTCCCTGTTCCATAAATGAATTCAATTTGTTTTGGAATTAAAAGAAGATCACTTTCAACTTTCTGTTCTGAGTGCAGGTTAACCCCACGAAGTTATTGTTTCAGGAATTCAGTTCTTGGATCAATAAGCTCCCTTTATGTCTAAGACACAGAATGAACCCTAATGTGGGTACAAATCCACATCCCAGCCAGGCTCCCTCTTAGTAGAAGAAATGATCCACTCACCTATGGTTTGGGCAAGTGCTCGTCTCTGTGTCTCCACCTGTTGCCACACCTGGGAGTTTTTCTTCATTGGAATGCCCTTCTACTTCCTCGTGGGAACCGCTTTGGGTAAGGAAGTCTTCAGGTTCTCCAACACGCTCTTCTCTTTGATCTGTTTCAATCTGAATTAAAGGCACTTCCCTTGAGCAGAGTGATCGCCTGATGTGGTTTGGAGGGACAGCATCATGGCAGGTGGAAGATTCCTTCTTAGAATCTATGCTGCTGTGGCTCCTAACAGAAGCAGATCTGCTTGGAGATGATACTAAAGAATGTTTGCTTTCCGTGAGGGAGTCTCTCCTCGGGTAGTCAACAGACTCCTGAACAAGCAGGGCTGGCCCACTTTGCATTCTGCTTGAAGCTACTCTGTTGGCACACTTCTCCCCTGGCCTGGGGGAGCCGCTGGCGACAGGCCCGGGCTCAGCTGCCTCGACATCATCTACTAGGATCTTGTTCTTTCTCATGAGGGCCTCGATGGAGTTTGCCCACGTTTCGTGAATTAACATGTTTGTGATGTGGTCCGTCCCACCTCTGCGATATAAGCAAGAGTCAGATTTGCAGAGACCCGAGGAGGAAGCGCTGCTGACCGGCTGCACGCTTAGGAAATCTTGCCGGTTGTTTTGCGCAAAGCCATCTAAGGAGTTGGCCTTGACGGGAGCACTCACTGTTAACCTGGAGCATGGCGATCGGCTGTCTGGCATGGACGACTGTCTATAGCAAAATGGGGCTCGCAGGGGAGGAGGCAGGAGGCTAATCGTCCAGTCCTGGCTGCTTCTCCTGGCTAAGGGGCTGTCTTTGCTTTCTCGCTCAATGTCCTTCAGCATGTACCTATAGAACTCCTCAGTTATACTCTCTGTGCTGGACTGCTTGGAGGGACAGCTTGGCCTCACACTCAGGTGCTCAGTTTTCTGACACACTTGTTGTATAGCTGAGGTCAAAATACTGTTGGCGTTTTTGCCGGCGTAGTAGTCCAGCAGTAACTCAAACCCTCTCCCTTCGTTTTCCATCTGGTTGACCATGAACCTGGAAAACTCGTCGGTGATGCTCTCACAGCTGGACTGTTTGGAGACAGAGCTGGCCCGGCTCACCGGCTGACTTAAGGTGCTCACAAAACCCAGGCTATTTACACAGGCGCTAGTGTCAGCGCCCTCCTCCGCAATGCTTTCACAGCTGGAGGCCTTCAGCCGGTTCCACCTGTCGCCAAGTAAGCGAGTCCGTGGATAGCTCTGGGCTTGCCAGACCCCATCTACCATGGAGAATTCCGTCAAGTTCATGATCTTGGCTGCCACTTCATTTGCAAAGATACTGACAGAATCTGGGACGTCCTCGACGTTCACAGAGTCATCCACAACCCTGTTCATCAATTTCTCTTTCAGCTCAGGATGCTCATCCGTTTTCCTCTTGATCTCACTGAGCCGTGGTGGCTTGTGCTTTCTGACCGTGGCCCCACTGGCCTGGTTCTCCTTCTTTCTCTTCAAGGTTCGGCAGGACAGGTTTGGTGTAACCAGATACTCATTTCCTCTTTTCCATGCACAAAACCAGGGTTGTTTGCCATTGGAGTTGTCAAGGCAAATCGCTGCAATTTCAGTTGCCATGGAGACAACTGTCTCTGCTAATTCTTCCGCAAAGTCTGTGATGCAGTATATGTCTGTGTGTTTTGCTTGTAGCATGGACTGAGTGGGAAGCAGCAAGTCATTCTCTAACAAAGACAGGCTGACTTGAACTTCATTGTTGAGAGGCATGTCATCACTGCCTTTTCCCTGGGTGTTTGGGTTGATGCTGTCTTCAATATTCTGGGATCCTCTTCTGCATTTGTTGGCCGGAGGTGCCCTTTCTTCCTCTGGAGAGGTCCTGTGTTCACTCTCATTGAGACTGGGCATCTGATAATGGATTTTTGTAACATCTCCCATAGTTCCTTTCAGATGTATTTCCTTTGGAGATGTTTTAGCTGTCGAGGAGTCATGCACACTGTGACTATATGTCAATTCAGGTTGCAGAGTGGGACTCTTGAAGAGGCCTTGCCTCGCCCCACCCTTGCTGTCTCGTTTTGGATGCATGTCATCTACAATTTCTTTAATGACAAGGCTAGTGTTGGGTGGATTGCTAGTTGAATGGCTGCTGGTGTTTTCAGTGGCTTTTGCCCATGCTTGACTGGCAGCCTGATCAGTTAGCTGGCAGCCTATTTCTGCTTCCCTCCATCTGATGGCCTCCTTAGAAAGGATAGGGGGGCCTTCACTGAGTTGTATGAGATGGCTCATCTTCTGGAATGTGAAGCAGATCACATTGAAGAGAAGCTGATTTGTACTTTCCATCAACGTGTCCAGGGTATCGGATGGATGCCTACCATCACTGGGTTCCGTTATTTTATTTTTATGGAGAACTTCATCCATGGAATGCTTCAGGATCACATTGGACAGGTTCTTTGCCAGTTCATTCTGGAGGACATTGTCTGTGCACAGGGTCTGTGGCCTTGAAACGGTTTCTATGATTCTCCTGTTCATTGATTCCAGGAGGTCTCCAATGCTGCTGTAGGAGTTCGGCCTCATTAAAACCAGTGTGGCTTCCTTGAGCAGTGCCTCTGCAATGGCCTCATTCCCCACCTCCCTGCTCCTCTCTGTCGTTAAACCACCAAGTGGGGGGAGTGCTGTGGGAGCCTGAGCTTCAGACAAGAGGCCACTTGTCCCTACAGGGGACATCCCCTCTTGCACTTCACCCAGGCCACAGACAGCAACAGCACTTGCTACCTGAGTCATGCCACACAAAGCAGATGGAAAGGAGTATTCACCGACAGGAGGTTCTTCCAGTACTTGGCAGGCTTGAGTTTGCCGTGCTCCATTGCCTCCCAGCAGACGGCTTGATAGTAAGGATTCTTGTTCCTTTTGGAGTCTTTCTGTGGCCTGTGGACTGGAAATGGTTCCAATCACAGTGGCAGCACAAGCCAACACTACTTCCAGGGCACTCTGGGGGTGCCTGCCTGAGTTCTCTCCAGGGAGGGTGCCTGGGGTGTCAGTGGAGACTTCTGAGTCAGGCCACGAACAGATGCCTGGCTCCGTGGCAGCATCACTGCCCTCTGGACTCTGAACTATGACGATTTTGGGGAGTTCACTCCACGACTGAGGGACCACTATGTCTTCTGTGGAGCAGCCACTGGGAAACTTGCTGCTTCCTACAGAAATACTGATGGCAGATTCCTGGGATAGTGGAGGCTGAGCCTGAGATAACCTAATAAATGCATCTTGCAGCACGGATTCTGCTAAATTCATAGCGTACTCTCCAGTTGCAGCTTCTCCATCTTGTATGTGGGGAAGAGACTGTCTTCTGCCTCCAGGGGCTCCTGGCTGCAAGCTGCTGTCATGGTCAGTGATGCTGCCACCTGTAGATGACACATCGTTCTTAACCAACCTGGTGAAATAAGCACCATCTGGAGCAGAACGTGCCCGTGAATTTTCCACTTGACCCTTAACATTTTCTGAACTGTAATAATCGGTGGCTGGTCTCAAATTCTCCCCAGCTCCATCTTTCCACTGTGATGGCTTGACTGAAGGATCCAGGCTCCTCAAGTCTGTTTCTTCTGCTATGTTTTCTAGAGATCCTTTGGTCTGAATCAATGATGTATGATAGTTGTTAATATATTTGTCTTCCAAAGCATAAAGCAACTTTTCCTTGTTGCAATTCCATTCCTCTTGGGTGGCTTCCTGTGGCTTTTTACTTTCCAAAACACTGGCAGAGACATTTATATTTTCAAAACCTAGGGAAGAGAAAACAAGGGCCACTGTTCGTTTTGGGATAGCAGGTTGCCATGGGTCTAAAATGCCTTAAATTATCAGCTATCTCTTCTTCTTTCTTTCTGCCCCTTCATAATCCCAAACACGGCATACTGAATGTCTCTTCCAGAAAAATGAATCTGGAAAAGTGTTTGGACTTCCTTATGGATGCCACCTAAGCAAATGGCTTGTAAGGTGGAATACCACTCTAAAGGCTAGACTGGGAGAAGAGAGTGTTTGCAAGCTGAGGACTGGCTGCCATTCAAGTGGAAACCAATGCTAAGTAGCTTCATCTTAGAATTTTCCAGTGGCCACACTGTGAGGAGGGAGAATGTTTAGAGCCACCTCGATAATGGGCTTGCTGAAGAGATGTACTCTGAATTTTGTATAGGACTTGCCCCAAGGACAGTGGCAGCCACAACTGAGGTGTCCCTTCATCTGTGGCTGAGAGAGGGCAAGAGGAACCCATTGTTCATTTAGCTTTTTTAGTTTCATTCGAGCCAGTAGAACCAAAAAAAAAAAAAAAGGTTCACTGCCAGTTGAGTTGATTCCAACTCACAGAGACCTTCATTAGGTTTCCAAGGCTGTAAATCTTTACAGAAGCAGATTGCCACATCTTGCTGCCATGGAGCAGCTGGTGGGCTTGAACCATCGACCTTTTGGTTAGCAGTCAAATACCTTAACCACTTCACCACCAGAGCCAACTAAATGAGTGCTAAGGACTTTGTGGAGATCTGAAGTGGTTCACATGGTTAATGTGCTTGGCTGTTAACTCACAGGTTGGAGGTTCGAGGCTACCCAGAAGTACCTTGGAAGAAAGGCCAGGTGATCTACTTTTTTTTAAAAAAAAAGTCAGCCCCTGAAAACCCTGCGAAGCACAAGTTCTCCTCTTACAAACATGGGGCTGCCCCCAACTCTATGGCAACTATTTTCTTTCCTTATGCACTTTCTTGGGTTATCTCCTGTCCTCACAACAATCATTTGTTGTAGGCATTATGAAACCCCCAAACTACAGACAAAGAAAAAGGGCTCAGAATGACTAGCAAACTGACTCCAAGTTATACAGGCTCAAAGTGGCAGAGCTGGGATTCACAATCAGGCCACAGTGTGACCCAGCTAAGAGCCAGTATGTGGTTTTTATGGATGTCTTAGGGAAGTTAACTTTCTCCCCCAGCAGTAGTCCCCATCTCCTGTCAGGCAGGAGGATTTCTTTTTAAAGCACAAAGATTTCCTTCAGCATCCCTAGGGCATCTTTGGGGAAGCTGGAGCCATCCAACCATTAAGTCTGTTACGTGCATTAGTCAGCATCTTCTCTTGCCTTCTCTCACCCTTCTCCCCACTCTAAACTCAGAAAGGAAAGGCGAGGATGCATCAGCCAAACTGCTGTGGCCTGACATCTTTCTGAAACTTCACACAGACGTTTTTAGACAGTGACTAATTTCAGGGTGCACATTAATTTGACTGGAAAGTTCTCACCGTTCCTGTAGTCTTCCCCTTCGCCTTCCTCCTCCAAGTGCTCCGATGCGGTGAGGAAGTCCTCCTCAATAGAGGACAAGGAACAGTTAGTGTCATCCTCCAGTTTCACGGTGTTTGCTTCCACGTGGTGCTGCCGCTCCTGCACAAGTTCCAGGCCGATCAGAAATTTGTTGATTTCAAAGATGATGCAATTGGTACTGTTTGGCCTGTTCCCTCTCGCACACTGGACCAAGCAAATATCTGGCAGCCAAGGACACTAGAAGTGGAGAGAAAGGCATTTGTTAAAGAGAAAACAGTAGACCATTATTAGGATTGCTTCTGACTGCTTTTTCCACCAATCTCATCTTTTACAAGTAAATGGGGACCTTTTAACTATTTGAAATATCTTCTGGGCTTATACTGATGAAGTTCTTGAAAAAAATTCAAATGATGTTTGGGAACACAGGGTACCCAGGAGAAATTTTGACTTAGAGGAAAAGTGAACAGTCATATTCAATGTTCTTGTTTTGCTCTTGATTAAATTGAGTTTCAGGGTCTCTGATCAACATCTTTCTCTGTCTTGGTTTGGTGAAGTCTCTGCCAGTACTTCAGATACTCAAGCATTCTAACAACTACCTTTAGATTTTATAATCTGTATTGCTTGTCTGAAGAAGCAGCAAATATGAAGTTTAAGAAATCAGCTAGAAGTGAACTACCTCTGAAAGACCAGCATATGGGGAGAGCTGTCATGAAGAAGCCAAGTCATTCATTGCATGGGGTTCCAGACAGACCTCTGTTTAACTCATGTTCGCTATTCATATTGTTGTTCACTAAAATAATAATAATAAAAAAACTGTGACTTGCTTATGTGCAGATTATTAATAAGTCAAAAGCATGCCTTGGCATCAGGATTTTCATTTTTTTAGGAGGAACAGTATCCTAATTTTATTTTTAAGAGAAAATTCTTTGAATTAAAATAAGAGTTAATAGGAAGGAAGAAACTAAGCAAATTTATCTCAAAGTGCAATTTGAAATGCTTGGGAGAAATATTTTACATCTAAATGTTCACTTTATAAAAAGGATTATTTATATTATGCTTATCCAGGTTCAAGTTAATTGGGTCTAATACCAGTTGGGAGCTCTGGTAGCATAGTGCCTAAGACACTTGACTACTAACCAGAAGGCTGGCCGTTCAAACCCACCAGCCACTCTTTGGAAGGAAGGTTGGGCAATCCTACTTCTGTAGTGATACTGCCTCAGAAACCCAAGGAGGGGTCACTATGAGTCGGGGCCGACTCGACGGCGCATAACAACAACACAATTAACAACCAGTTAACTGGCCATTTTGGAATCCTTGTTCCTGAAGGTGTGGATGTGTGTGCACACGCCAAGCAATACAAACCCACACCTGCTACCTGCTGCCATTGAGTTGATCTGACTCACAGTGACCCTCTTAGATGGAGTAGAACTGCCCCATTGGGTTTCCAAGGCTGTAATCTTTATGGAAGCAGATTGCCACATCTTTCTTCCATGCTACAGCTGGTGGGTTTGAATCACCAATCTTTTGGTTAGCAGCTGAAGGCTTAGCCATTGTGCCTATAGGGCTCCTTCTACACACACATGGAGATGCATGTTCTGTTTCTTAAAGTAGAGTATCTTTTTCTTACATGAATATCATTCAACGATCCTTGATTGAATATTAGAGTGATTCTAGGAGATGCTGTTGACATTAACTTTACCCAAAGAATTTGGTCTTTGTCCTTGGCTCCTGATAGGGAACCTCTAAATCCTTGGACTTTCCCCACTGATTGAAGTGTATTTGTTATTTAAATGGCTTCCAGACCACACCTGAGAGTTTATGCTAGTAAATGGGGCTGACCTGGCCAGAAAGACCTTTTGAAAAGAGCTTGTATATTCCCTTCATTACAGAACCCACTAGAATGTTAGCTATTCCCTCAGGACTGATTCTGTCTGCCCCAATTACCCAGCTCAAGCTGCCTCTGCCAATCTTTCCATCTTTACTTATGGATTAATAGGTTACCATCCTTGACTAGGCCAAGGCAGCTAAACTGAGAATATCACTACACAAGTGGGTAGGACCTATGGTTGGCTAGGATGGGATTCAGTGTGGAAGAAACTCCAGCGTTGCTGACTTATTAAAATATATGGACTTTGGTACCTACAAAATGATTTAGGGTCTTTGGGGGACGGCAGAAAGATGAAGTGATACCTGGGAAAGATAGGGATCCTTGGAATAAAGAATAAAATGCTTGAGCGTTGTAACTCACAGGGAATTCTTGGTTAGTTCTTATGAAGGAAAGGTATGCAGAATTCTGAACACCTTTTTGGTGAATGATCTTTAATGAGTCTTTGGCAATTTGACTCCACCTGATCCCCAGTGTTGCTTTTGTGACCCAGCATCCACTTGCCCTTTGGTTCTCATACACTAATTTCTCTGTAGGGCACAACTTCCTGCCCAACCTACAGTCCAAATGATTACCAAAAACAAAAGTAAGAAGTTGCTGAGTTGATTCCAACTCATGGTGACTCCATGTGTGTCATAGGAGAACTGTGTTCCTTGAGGGTCTCAATGGCTGATTCCTCAGAGTAGACTGACCAGCACCAAGGTGCCCCGGGTGATCTCAAACTTCTGATCCTTTGGTTAGCAGCTGAGTGCTTGCCTGTTTGCACCACCTAGGAATGCCCCAAGTGGGTCACATAGAGTTAATTCCACTTCTCACATGAGATGATCATGTGACTCAGGCATGGTCCATCTGAATAATATATTCCTCAGGCTACAGTGATTGGTTTAGAAATGGACAGGAGACACATGACAGCCAATAGGACACAATGAGACTTCTTCCAGAAGCCACTACTCTTTTGTGTTCAACTTGAACTCAAGGCTATATTGCATCCTTGTAGGAAGAGTTTGTCTGCGAATGGCATGTCCTAGTCTTGATGACATTGCTCAAGTCTCTTTATATACACTATCCAATGGATTCTTTAGTTATGTAGACAATACATTTCCTTTGTGCTTAAGTTAATTTTCTGTCATGTTTAATTGAGAATTCTAACTGGGATTAATCAGAGAGTAACAAGTTCAACTCAAGGCCAGGACCAATTAGCATCAGTATCAATTTTCATAAGCAGAGTCAAAGAGGGCCGGGATTTCCCAATAGTCACTTGTCAAAAGCTGGGAAAAGTATTCTACAAAACAGGGGCACTTGTTATAAATTTTTGTTTATCTAAAAAGAAAACGAGAATGGACTCTTCACTTCTAAGTATTTTTTAAAGAACAAATGAACTTACAAAGCACTATGCATAATTTGTTGACAAATCACAAATTACTAAGGATTCATGTAATATTCATAGTGGACCAGCTTTGCTCGTTGTTGTTGCTGTTGTCTGGTGCCATCAAGTTGGTTCTGACTCAGAACAACCCTCTGTACAACAGAATTAAACTGCCCACTCCTGTGCCTCACAGTCATTGCCATGCTTGGGCCCATTGTCACAGCCACTGTATCAATCCATCTTGTTGAGGGTCTTCCCTTTTTCTCTGACGCTCTACTTTATGGAGCATGATGTCCTTCTCCAGACACGGATGTCTTGTGACAGTATGACCAAAGTACAAGAGATGAAGTCTACCATTCTACCTTCTAAGGAGAATTCTGGATGTACTTCCTCCAAGACAGATTTGCTTTTTCTTCTACCAGTCCATTGTATATCTAGTATACTTTGCCAATACCACAATTCAAATGCATCAATTCTTTTGTGGTCTTCTTTATTCATTGGCCTGGTCTCTCATGCATATGAGGCTATTGAAAATACCATGGCTTAAGTCAGCCACAACTTAGTCTTCAGTGTCATCTTTGCTCTCTAGCACTTTAAAAGATGCTTTGCAACAGATTTGTCCAGTGCAATACATCACTTGATTTCTTGACTGCTGCTTCCATGGGTGTTGATTGTGAATCCAATCAACCTTGTAGTCTTGTTAACAGCTACAAAGTCAGGGATATCTGATTACCTGGAAATAAAGCTTCTTTGCTTTATTAATTGTTATTTGCTTTATCATACTGCTTTTAAACCATTATGTATCATGAGCTTTGGAGATAACACACTTTTCTGAAGCAGGATTTTTCAGGGGAGAAATAGTTTCAATTGTATTTTTTGCAAAATGTTGCTCTTGTTGTTAGGTGCTCTCGAGTCGGCTCTGACTCACAGTGACCCTATGCACAAAAGAACGAAACACTGTCCAGTCTTGCAGCACCAGCCTCACAGTCCTTGCTATACCTGAGCCCATCATTGCAGCCACTGTGTCAATCCATCTCATTGAGGGCCTTCCTCTTTTTCACTGACTCGCCACTGTACCAAGCATGATATCCTTCTCCAGGAAATGGTCCCTTATGACAACATGACCAAAGTAGCTGAGACGAAGTCTGGCCCTCGCTTCCAAGGAGCATTCCAGCTGCAATTCCTCCAAGACAGATTTGTTAGTTCTTTTGGCAGTCCATGGCACTTTCAGTATTCTTTACCAACACCACAACTCAAAAGCATCAGCTCTTCTTTAGTCTTCCTTATTCATTGTTCAGCTCTTCCATCCATAAGAGGCGACTGAAAGTACTATGGCACCCACCAGCCACTCCTCGGAAGGAAGGCTGGGCAATCTACTTCATTAGTGTTACCACCTTGGAAACCCAAGGAGGGGTCGCTGTGAGTTGGCTCCGACTCAGCGGTGCTGAGTTTGGGTTAGGCGCACCTTAGTCTTCAAGGGGACATCTTTGCTCTTCAGCATTTTAAAGAGGTCTTTTGCAGCAGATTTGCCCAGTGCAATACATAGTCTGATATCTTGACTATTGCTTCCATTGGTGTTGATTGTGGAACCAAGTAATACGAAATCTTTGACAATTTCAAAATGTTGAGGTTCCTAAATTATTTACCTTGGCTCTTTTTTTTTCCATAACAAAAACTAAAGTTTATCTGTAGCAAAGTGCTTTTCACCTATTTAATCTCTTGGAAAAAAATACCAGTTGCTGTCAAGTTGACCCTTCTTCCTGGTGACCCCACATGTCAGAGAAGAGTTGTGCTCCATAGTGTTTTTGATGCCTGATTTTTCAGAAGTAGATCCCCAGACCTGTCTTCTGAGAAACCTCTGGTTGGACTTGAACCTCCCACCTTCTGGTTACAACCAAGAACATTAACCATTTGAGCCACACTGAGACGCCTGTATCATTCTCAAGGAAATCCTATAAAGTAGAAATCATTGTTATCCCAATCTTATAGACTGGCACACTGACTTCAGAAAGATCCAGATCTGCTGGCTTCAAATGTGAAATGACTTTGATTTCATTATGCTGTTCCTTGGCTACCAAGACTCAAGTTCATATGAACAGTGAAATTCTTGCATCATTAATAGAAAACTGACACCCAATGTGCATACGTGTGCTTAAGCTATGAGGGCAGAGAATAATGTTTGTCCTCTCCTGGAACACTAGTTTGCTACTTAGGCTGCTACACCTTGTGTTTAATTTCTTATAGTGATGTATCCCATCCTAAGCCAAACAAACCAAACTAGCTGTTGTCAAGCCAATTCTGATTCATGATGACCCATGTGTTCCATCCTAGATGAAGCCAGACCTTTTTACTGGTGAGGCAGGAGGTCAATGCCAGGAAGGAACAGCAAAGAAAATACAGGCCTGGAGCAGAGATGCTCTCAAAAATCTCAGGATTGCATATTATTTCTGCTCCACATGGTTTTGCTTGATATAAAAGAGCAGGAACTTAGAGCCACTGTCTGTGTGTTCTTTTTTCAGAAGCTAGAACTTTGAATGCCTGAGAATTGTTTTCTGGTCTTGATTCTCAACCTGTAATGGGCTGTATGTTGATCTTGACAAAGCATCTGGCATGGAACAAAAATAGCAGATGGACTTCTAGGATTTTTGAGCATTTGAAGGGTTGAAGAACAAAAGATGATTTTTTAAATTGCCAGGAAAACTAAAAGAACAATACAAAGGAACAGAGGTGTTCATCATTTTGATCTGAGCTCTATTATGTATTGCTGTCAACATACTTCATTCTGCAAATCAGCTATTTTATATATATAGTTTTATGTATTGTTCTTGGAAACTGATTAAACACATTCACCTATTTTTTTTCCAAATATGTGTTGTTGTTGTTATGTGCCGTCGAGTCAGACCTGACTCATAGCGACCTCTCCTTGGGTTTCTGAGGCAGTATCACTATGGAAGTAGATTGCCCCATCTTCCTTCTGAGGAGTGGCTGGTGGGTTTGAACCACCAGACTTCTGGTTAGCAGTCAAGTGCCTTAGGCACTACGCTACCAGAGATCCTTCCAAATATATAGTATTATGATAATTAACCTAATGGTGATGAGTATCAGTACAGAATGATAATAATACAGTTTTTGTCCTACATTATTTGTAGGAGGAATTTTATTTCTTTGGGCCTAGGACCCAGGAAACTCCCTTTCCATCCTTGAGTCTGCTGTCCTGTATTTATTACCTTGGCTGCTTTGGTATCTCATCCCAAAACCAAAAACCAAACCCACTGCCACTGAGTTGGATCCAACTCGTAGCAACCCCTCCTTGGGTTTCTGAGGCAGTATTACTATGGAAGTAGACTGCTCAACCTTCCTTCTGAGGAGTGGCTGGTGGGTTTGAACTGTCAGGCTTCTGGTTAACAATAAAAATGCCTTAGGCACTACACCACCAAAGGCACCCTGCTAGCACAATGGTTAAGCACTTGGCTGCTAACTGAAAGGTTGGTGGTTTGAACTCTGCCAGTGCATCTGTGGGAGAAAGACCTAGTGATCTGTGTCTTCAAAGTTGATAGCCTAAAAAACCCCATGGGACAGTTCTCCTCTGTCACATGGGTCATTTGAGTCAAAATTGACACAACGGAGCTGAACAACAACAACAAGGGAGAAAGAACTTCAAGAAAATTTAAACTGTAGGGTTCTAGGGCCACATAGTATGGATTGGAATGTTGGTATTGTTCCTGAAACAGGAGACATTTCTAATTTTGGCTGTCCAAACCAAGCTGAGTGTGCTCTAGTTTAACTCTGTTGTTCATTTGTTGTACTGGGGTAGCTTGTGTGTTGCTATGATGCTGGAAGCTATTTCACTGGTATTTGAATCCCAGCAGGGTCACCCATGGTGGACAGGTTTCAGTGGAACTTCCAGACTAGGGCAGACTAGAAAGAAGGACAGTCTACTCTGAAAGAAGATGGCCTCTGAAAACCTTATGAATAGGTAAATGTTAGGAGTTGATCAAAGCACTATCAAACTCTGAGTGGCGATATTTAGAAGAAATACAAATGAAGGCTATACCTGAACACAAAGAAATATTTGATTCATATATGATAAGAGCTTATAATGTAGCATCTGTTTCTGGCTCATGCTGATCTGTGCTGAAGTTGTCCAGAGTTAACACATCACTTGTGAATGGCTTCTGAACAGTTTCTGTTTCTTACCTGTGGAACTTCAAAATCTGCCTGAAGATTCCCAGATGTTAACCCACTCAACAGGACAATCTCATTTTCTTTTGGCTGTTGGACGTTCATGGAGCTGATAAGTTTTGGAAGATCTGGTGAAACGTTGACTAGCTTCTATAGAGCAAGAACATTTATTAGTGCAGGTGGTTTCTTTTCATTTTCAAACTATCATCCCAAAACTTTCCTCTTTTTTTCTTTACTTTTATTTTTGGTGAAAATATACATAACAAAATATACACCCATTCAACATTTTCTACAGATACAACTCTGTGGCATTGGTTACATCCTTTACATTGGGTCACCATTTTCACTCTTTCTACCCATGTTGCTTCACCACCATTAATTTAGACTTTCTTTCCTCCAGACATCTCCTCTGTGTTTTAGAGTTACTGTTGTCAGTTTGATCTCATGTAAACAATTCTTTAAAAAGTGCACTGCTCCATTCTTTATTGGTTGAACTAAACCATTACTTAGTTTAAAGATGACTACATGGGATAGTTTCAGTTCAAGGCTTAAAGATTATCTCAGAGCAATAGATTCAGGCATTCCCTCAGTCCCAAGGGGCCCAGTAAGTCTAGTTTCTGTAAAAATTTGAAATTTCATTCTCCATTTTTTCCTCTTTTCAATCAGGATCCATCTTGTGGGTCCTTGATCAAGATGTTCAGTACTGTAGCCAGGCTACATCCCATTCTTCTAGTCTTGTGGCAGTGGAGATAGTAGTTTGTGAAGAAATGAGTGAATTATGGTACTGATCATACCATAGATTACTTAATCTACTGAGATTATTACTAGAAGAGAAGCATAGGGCTGCGATTGGAACAGAAAATTTCTTAAATGTAAAGTTTAAAACCTCTCCAGTTTTACATTTTTTAATGTAAATATTTAATAATTACTCTCAATGTATAGGCATAAGTAGTAGTTTAGGAAAATTTCCTCTTAATAATTCTAATAAGATGATCATTGACTGATAGTCATCTGTTCTCATAAAGCCAATAATAATAATGACAAGCATTGATTTTCCACTTATGCTTGTGCTAAGCACCGGGAGCTCTGGTGGTATAGTGTGTAAGGCATTTGACTGCTAACAAGAAGGCTGGTGGTTCAAACCCACCAGCCACTCCTTGGAAGAAAGGTTGGGCAATCTACTTCCGTAGTGATACCACTTTGGAACCCAAAGCAGGAGTTGCTATGAGTTGGATCCGACTCAATGGGAGTGAATAAGCACTATGCTAAAGATTGTAATTCTACTGTGTCTTATGACATTTGATCCCCAAACAACCGTGGATGGATTAGGTACCATTATTACCTTCACTTGACATAAGCTGCCTGAAGCTCAAAGAAGATTCATAACTTGCCCAGGTTTATGTAGCTTAGTCAGTGACAAAATGTCTACTCTTAACCATAACAGGAAATAGTTTCAAATTACTCACATGAAGCCTTCAAACACATAGTTCCTACGATGTCAACCTGGTTGAGTCCTTTCTACTCTCACTTGAATGGACTCTGAGCCATTTCATAAAATGAAATCATGTACTATTTCTTTTTGAAAAATCCCTCTGGTGATGAATGATATTAGGAGTGAGGGGGGAAATCTAAACTAGGTAATCTGTGTGGGCAACTGGGTTTGCAAAGCTGCAGGTGCCATACCATAAAGAAAAAAAATTATAGGAGTAACAGAGTACATACAAGTCTACTGTCTTGTGATGATCAAGCTGTTCATGGTGTGCATGCTATACTTTGAACAGCAGTACCCCAAATGGTGAGGTCAAGCTATCTTCAGCTTTGAGCATGAAAGGAAAATCCTATTACAACACTTCATTCTTTCCATTGTGCCACACAGGCTCTGGATCCAAAGGACTGAATGCGTCTTCAAATTTTTACCAGTTATCAAGGATTTACATCAGGGCCCTCACAACCTTGAACGAGCTTGAAATGTTTACCTGCTGTTGCTGTTGGCTTGGCCCCTGACTCCTGGTGACCCCGAGCACAACGGAATTGGACCATTGTGATCCACAGGGTTTTCACTGGCTTATTTTTCCAAATAGATGACCAGACATTTTTTCATAGTTTGCCTTCATCTGGAAGCTCTACCGGAATGTGTTAGCACAACAACATGCAAACCTCCACTGACGGGCGTGTGGTGGCTGTGGTTGAGGGGAACTGGCTGGGAATCGAACCCAGGTCTCATGCCTGGAAGGTGAGAATTCTGCCACTGAACCGCCACTTCCCCCATTCAGCTGTCACAGGATGCTTGCCCCAGATGAGGGAGTGTTGGACTGGTAAACCAAGCTTAGCTATGAAGCATTAGACTAAAGCTGCAGGAAGAGTAAGCCTGAGGGTCAGTGGGAAGGTACTAAGCAAGTTTTGGAGAAACTTTGGAAAAATCATCTCAGACAGGGTGTTTGAGTTGGAAGATCAGGAAAGACCACTTTACTGAGCTGGTATGCAGGAAGAAACATCTGCTTAGAGAGCAGCCCTGCTAACGTGGGAAAGTAAGTCCCACCAACGCAGATGGGCAAACTGCAGAAGAAGTGGTAGGGAAATGGGCTGTGATGGACCCATCTAGTGAAAGAGTCTTATGACAGAATGAGCATCATTTAAGAGGAAATCATGTCAAATTCTCCATTACTACAGAGGTCCCTTGTAATGAGTTCCTGCAGAACTCAAATCCCACGTCTTACCTGTTGCAGATGCTCTGTGCTACACTTGTCCTTGTTCACATCCAAGTTCACAAAGCAGACCTGGCAAAGAGGGCAAAAACAGTCGAGTGAATTATTGGACAGTCCTTTCTGAAGAAAGAGAATTCAGTTTGGTACAAATGATTTGAGGGTCCTACATGTCTTTTGTAGTTGATCTGGCATCAACACTGTTGTCTGACCCTTGGACTTTGAAGTCAATCTCCAACACCCTCCTCCTGCTACCACCCCCTGATCCCATGAATGCCTCTTCCTTCCATGGTCCAAACCAAAAAACCAAACCAAACTCACTGCCACTGAGTCAGATCCGAATCATAGCGACCCCTCTTTGGGTTTCCGAGGCGGTATCTCTATGGAAGTAGATTGCCCAATCTTCCTTCCGAGGAGTGGCTGGTGGGTTTGAACTGCCAGCCTTCTGGTTAGCAGTCAAATGCCTTAGGCGCTTTGCTACCAGAGCTCCTTTCATGGCCCAGTAAATCTGCTTATTTTAGAGTGAATGTAAAAGTCACGCTCATAGAACTGGGCATTAGTACCTTCCCAGACACCCACCATGGAGCCATACATACTAGGTGGAGTTCTGAAGGGCTTTATGATCTAGACCAGTTTGACAATATTTAGATGGAATCGAAACTTGGTCCTTGGAAACCTGGTTCAATGATGAACTCAGGGACTTTTAATAGCACGTAGCTGCAACTGCAGCCATGGAATTAAGTGATTTTTCCATTCACCTTAAAGAAAGGTATACTCCCTTGCCCCTGGAAATCACAAGGCTCTTATCTCTCTCACATAGTGGGAAAGAGCACAGAGGAGAGACCAAAGAAAGGCATCAATGGTAATGATTTAAGAGTGCAATCTCTTGTCCTCCATTTTGGGCTGCAGTGTGAAAGGCTGCTTGCATCTGGAGGAAACCATCCACACTTGCTAGCTGGGTCAAGATGGGAACAAAGTAAGGGATAAAACAACTAAGTACTTACTGTTTTTCAAAATTAGGTGTGAAAGCTAACATTTATTTAGAAGAAGAGAAGAAATTGCAACAAATCTCAAATTTACGGAGATTGACAAATAGCACAACCATGACAACTTCCAGAAAAATATATTTTTCTTCTTTTTACTTTGTCCTTGGGTAAATGCTGCCTACCCTTTTGCTGTAGAATGCTTGACTGGACCTTCCTAGTGTTACTGTTCACCTTGCAGACCAGTCTATTGTTTGGTTGAAAATTGAGCCACGAGGGTTACTTCAGTTCCAGGTAAGAAGGGTGATTAAGGGCTGAAAAAATTTGGAAGTGGGTAGTGGTGATGGTTCCTGCACAACAGAGTGAGTGCAATAAGGTCACTGAATTGGACAGCACAACTGGTTGAAATGGCAAACACAGAAAAAGGTTGTTGTTGTTGTTATGTGCCGTCGAGTCGGAACCGACTCATAGCGACCCCTCCTTGGGTTTCCGAGGCAGTATCACTACGGAAGTAGATTGCCCCATCTTCCTTCTGAGGAGTGGCTGGTGGGTTTGAACCACCAGCCTTCTGGTTAGCAGTCAAGTGCCTTAGCCACTACACTACCAGAGCTCCCAGAAAAAGGTTAGATGCTGAGAACTGTCACTGGTAACAAGGCTGTAAAAGGTGTTAACATGTTTCTTGGAATGGAAGCTCCTTTCTCTTCAGATAAAACACATTCCGTTTTTATTCCTTGTTCAGACCATCTGCGGAGAAGCCTCAGCCTAAGCAGATGGAGACACAGCGTCAGCACAGAGAGAGCGTGGATGCTTCTTTCCTGTCTACTTAACAGAGCTAATTTTGTGGTTGTAGTCCAACTTCTAGGCTCCAGTGCTGCTCTTCTGTCCCTATTATGGTTTTAAAATACAACATTGTAGGAATAAGTATCAATGAGAAAATAATGCATTTTGGGATTTCAAATTTCATAGTATCTAATGAAGTATTTGTCCAACTTATTTATATTCAAACCCCTGCCAGAGTTGATTCTGTCTCAGAGCGCCCCTAGAAGACAGAGTAGAACTGCCCCAGAGGGTTTCCAAGGCTGTCAATCTTTATGGAAGCAAAGCCCAAACCAAACCCACTGCCAGTGAGTTGATTCTGACTCACAGCACCCCTAGAGGACAGAGTAGAACTGCGCAAGAGTTTTTACAGAGGCAGACTGGGTCATCTTTCCCCGACAGAGCAGCTGGTGTGTTTGAATACTTTAACCAGTGCACCACCAGAGCTCTTTAAGTCATCTATGCATAGTAAAAAATTGAATGTACATAAGCATTATGTTACTTTCTCTGTGTAGTGTTATGGATTATTTAGTCCAGCGATATCCATTATTTCCTTTTATTTTAAACTCCCTTTTCATAAATGGGCCACCATGCAGCCATCTTCTTCTTCTTTTCTGCTTTAACATGCAGAATTTATTCTCTCACAGTTTAGGAGGCTACAAGTTTGAGTTCAGGTGTCGGTTGTAGGGGAAGGTTTTCTCTGTCTCTCGGCTATGTCCTTGATTGTTGGCTCCTTGGTGATCTCCACGTGGTATGACATCTCTCTTCCCCCATCTCTCCTCTCTCTTCCACTCTAAACCAAAAACCAAACTTGCTGCCATCGAGTCGTATCTGACTCATAGTGACCCCTCCTTGGGTTTCCGAGGCAGTGTCTCTACAGAAATAGATTGCCCATCTTTCTTTCAAGGAGTGCTTGGTGGGTTTGAACTGCCAGCCGTCTGGTTAGCAGTCAAATGCCTTAGCCACTATTCTAATCCTCTCATTTTTTATCTCAAAGGTGATCTGATTAACATACACCCCACACTGATATGACCTTTTAACATAACAAGGAAAACCCGTTCTCAAATAGGATCACACCCATAGATACAGGGGTTAGAATTTAAAACACATATTTTGGGGGCACCTCAATATAAAGAAAACAAAAATCCTCACAACTGGACCAATGAGCAGCATCATGAAAGATGGATAAAGATTAAAGTTGTCAAAGACTTCGTATTACTTGGTTCTATAATAAATGCCAATGGAAACAGCAGTCAAGACATCAAAAGATGTATTGTATTGGGCAAATCTGTTGCAAAAGATCTCTTTCAAATGCTGAAGAGCAAAGATGTCTCCTTGAGGACTAAGATGCACCTAACCCAAGCCACGGTATTTTTCAATCGCCTCATACACATGTGAGAGCTGGACAATGAATAAGGAAGACTGAAGAAGAGTTGATGCTTTTGAGCTGTGGTGTTGGTGAAGAATGCTGAAAGAACCATGGACTGCTAAAAGAACTAACAAACCTGTCCTAGAAGAAGTGCGGCTGGAATGCTCCTTGGAAGCGAGAATGGCCAGACTTCATCTCACATACTTTGGTCATGTTGTAAGAAGGGGCCATTCTCTGGAGAAGGATGTTATGCTTGGTAAAGTGGAGGGTCAATGAAAGAGGGGAAGGCCCTCAACAAGATGGAGTGACAGCGATGGGCTGAGGTATAGTAGCGATCGTGAGGCAGGCACAGGACTGGGCAGTGTTTCACTCTGTTGTATATAGGGTCACTATGAGTCAGAGATACCTGATGGCACATCACAACAACAATCCTTTGGTGTTGCGGCGGTGAAGGCATTTGGCTGCTAACCAAAAAGTTGGTGGTTTGATCCCATCACTGCTGCATGGGAAAAAAGATGAGTCAGTTTCCTTCCATAATGATTTATAGCCTTGGAAACCCAATTGGGATCCCTATGAATTGGAACTGATGGCAGTGAGTTTGAATTCATAACAGGGTTGTTCAAGGATACATTTGCATTTCAGATAAACAATTTTAAATGAATATTTCTTACTTTTCCTATTTATTGAAAGTCAACTATTGTCTTTTAAAAATATTATTTAATTGATGTGTATTTGAGAATCTTGTGGAATTAGTCAAAAATTGAAAGCATGAAAATATCTAACCAGTACTGAAAATGTTCATGGATTTAAGGGAAAATTCGTATTTGAGAAACCAAGATGTATCGATACCCACAACCCTATATAGGTTGGGCAGCAGGTATTTCTACACATGTATTTGTATGTGCTGTAAATATATTCATGTATATAGTAGAGCAAATGGGGGCGAAGTTACGGACACTTCTTAGATATAACCAAACACCTTACAGGAATGGGTCACTGGGCTTGGAGGCTTAGGACCACAGTCTCAGGGGACAGCTAAGTCAATTGCCATAACACCGTTCAGGAAGACAATCTTCTACACCCTACTCTGGTAAGTAGTGACTGGGGTCTTAAAAATCTAGTGAGTGGCCATCTAAGATGCAACTAGGAGACCCTCCCACCATGCCAAAAAAAACACTTTAAAAATAAAATTTTCCTGTGAAATGTTATTAGTGAGTGATATAAACACGTTTGTGAAAGGCTCATGTGTGAAAGAGTCCAACACTGCTGACAGTTGCCGTGGAATTGATTCTGACTCATGGTGCCCCCAGGTGTGCAGAAAAGAGCTGCTCCCCAGGGTTTTCAAGGCTGTGGCCTTTGGAAGGAGATTGACAGGCCTTTCTTTTGAGGGACCTCTGTTGTTGTTGTTATGTGCCATCGAGTCAGACCTGACTCATAGCGACCCCTCCTTGGGTTTCCGAGGTAGTATCACTACGGACTCTGGGTGGGTTGAAACGCTGCTGACCGCTCAGCTAGTACTCAAGTGCTTCACCATCCACACCACCCAGGGACTCCTGGGCTAATGTTATAATCTAAACCAGAAATAAGAAAACTAATTCTGAAGTGGCTTTTGTAATTCTTAGCCACTGTTGTGAAATAACTGTATTTACTAGTCTTATTTTAAAACAAATTAAGTCAGACAAAGAGAGTAAAGAATTACGATGTCTGATTTTAAAAACAACATGTTTGATATTTTAAATTCAATTTAAATTTTAATACTGATAAATTGGTTATCAGTATTAAACTCATTACAAGGAGATGGTCTGATTTTTTCATATATTAATTTCAGTCAACATCTTGGACTGTTCACACAGTCAAATGCAATAGTCTATTTTATTTTATTGTGCTTTGGGTGCAAATTTACAGAC